CCGATGAAATACACTGCTGAGGGGAGCAGCGGGCACAGCAGGAGAGGTCTGCAGAGCAGGAGAGGTCTGCAGGGCAGGAGAGGTCTGCGCGCCATGTGGGACCCTCACCGGTGGATGTGGTGGCTGCAGAGGTTGCAGAGGCTGCAGAGACTCTGAACCAGCGCTGCAGAGGCTGTGGGCAGCTTCGCAACCCAGTGCTCAATTGCGGCGCCACCAGGGAGGCCCGGTTAGTGGTTTCTTTAGGCACAAATTCTTCTGTGGAGAAATTTTCTCCTTTGAGATATTTTCTTCAATGTTTTGAAATCTGCTCTTCCTTAGATTAGGCTAAATGTCTAACGTACGTGTGTGCATACACGTGTATGAAAATTTGCTTTTGTCCTGTAACAATTGACATAGCATCACCTCAAGGCTTGGGATGTTGAATACTACACTTCTGTTTAAGCTCAGCTACAAGTTAATTGATGCCCATAGCTGGATTATAGCATTCCCCAAATATAAAAGATGCCAAATGTGTGACACCACAGTTATTTGTGAGCATGGACTCCCGAGTCGTGGGTCCATCAAAAAGTCTTTTTCTTTTTTTTTAAGATTTATTTATAGAGCCTCCCCGGTGGCACAGCAGGTTGAGCGCAGCGCTGTGAAGCTGGCTGCAGCCTCTGCAGAGCGGTTCAATTCCCGGTCGACCAAGGAGATTCCCAAATGGCGTGGCAGACCTCTCCTGTAGCACCTGCTGCTCCCCTCAGCAGTGTATTTTGGTCATCTGCCTGTTCTGCTCCCCGCTCTGTCTCTGGTAAATCCTCTCACCCCCTTGTGCCTCTGGCCTGTACCCTAGCTCTTGTATAAAGATACAAGAAGTTTTGTTAGCATAGATTGTTGGGGCCCATATCAGAGCTTCTGATTGTGTGTGTGTGTGGGGGGGGGTGGGCGGGACAGATTGGGGGGTGGGGGTGGGGTGAGGGTGTGAGAGGCCTTAAGGCCAGTTCTTGTATTTATACAAGAACTGACTTACAGGCTAGAGGCATGGGAGGGTGAGAGAATTCACCAGAGACAGAGCGGGGAGCAGAACAGGCAGACGACTGAAAATACTGCTGAGGAGAGCAGCAGGTGAGACAGGAGAGGTCTGCTGCAACAGGAGAGGTCTGCCACGACAGGAGAGGTCTACCGCGCTATGTGGGTATCTCCCTGGCCAGCTGGGAATCGAAACTGCATTGCAGGGGCTGCAGACAGCTTCACAGTGCTATGTTCAACTCTCTGTGCCACCAGGGAGGCCCCATCAAGAAGTCTTAGATGAGATGGTCCTGAAGAAAGAACCAGACATCTGATAAAGTGCATTGTTAGTCACCCCCAAGTTTCAAGGGCCTGGAGTGGGAAAAAAAGACATCTTTAGAAGGGTTTCTGATTTCACATGAGTTGGTTACCAAGAAACACCTATTCAGGGCCTCCCCTGGTGGCACAGCAGTTGAGCACTGGGCTGCTAAGCTTCCCGCAGCCTCTGCAGCACCGGTTCGATCCTGGCTGCCAGCGAGGGTCCCACATGGCGTGCAGACCTCTCCTGCCGTCCGCTGCTCCCCTCAGCAGTGTGCTTCAGTCCTTCTGCCTGTTCTGCTCCCTGCTCTGACTCTGGTGAATTCTCTCACCCTCCCGCGCTTCTGACTGTACCCAGTGCTTGTATAAATACATAAAATAAATCTTAAAAAAAAAAAAAAGAAACACCTATTCAGATGGGGCATATTGACCTTTGACTGGAATTATTATTATTACTTACATTTATTTTTGCATAGAAGAGCTGGGGTGTAGGCCAGAGATGTGGGGGGTGAGAGGATTCACCACAGAGTGGTGAATAGGCAGAATAGGCAGAATAGGCAGATCTACTGAGATGCACTGCTGTGAGCAAGACAGGAGAGGTCTGCTGCACCTTAGGTCAGCTCCCTGGCTGGGGATTGAACTCAGGTCTTAACGGTAAAAACACTGGGACTTCAGGCCTAGAGCACCAGAGAGGCCCTGAAATTATTATTGACTTAATGGTTTGTGTATGATAAATAGGTTTATATAGTATGTATGATTAATCAACTATTGATAATGAATATCCATGTTTTATATAGTTGGTATGCATGATATATAATTTAATGTATTATGTAATATACATAGTTATATGTATAACTTGTTTATATGCATGGGTCATATTATTAATGTATGATATACATATAATGTATTACGTAATATAAATACATGCAAATAAGTAAGAAATTGTGGTCCAGAAACTCCAGCATTAGATGCTCCTGCAGTTCCTATTAAAAATACAGGGACTCCCTGGTGGCCTAGGGGTTAAGTCTCAGCACTCTCATCACTAAAGCCTGAGTTCGATCCCTGGCCAGGGAGCTAACCCCCTATGGCACAGCAGACCTCTCCTGTCTTGCCTGCTGCTCCCCTCAGCAGTGTATTTCAGTCGATCTGCTGCTCTGCTCCCAAGTCTGTCTCTGGTGAATCCTCTCACCACCACTGCCCCCACCTCATACCTCTGTCCGACACCCTAGTTCTACACAAAAATAAAATTAAAAAAAAAAGATCTAATTTCTTAAAAAAAAAAAAAAAAAAAAAAAGCAAAGTCCTGGGCCCTCCCAGTGGCGCAGGGGGTTGGGAGGCAACCTATGAAGCAGTTCGCAGCCTCTGCAGCATGAGTTCGATCCCGGCTGGCAAGTGAGCTACCCACATCCTCTCTTGCCTTGCCCACTGCTCCCCTCAGCAGTGTATTTAAGTCAGTCTGCCTGCTCTGCTCCCTGCTCTGTCTCTGGTGAATTCTCTCACCAACACCCCCTCGCCTCTGGCCTGTACCCTAGTTCTTGTATGCATAAATACAAAGTCCTGGATGCTGACACTAAAGATACCGAACCTGCAGATGTACAGTGGGGTCTGCTGCCCCAGCCCCTCCAGGGAGGAGATCTTTCCTTGACCCTCTTGGACCAGAAGTGGGAACACGGCCACTTTCTCACAAGCCTCATGCCACGAGCACTTCACCAGGAAGCAGTCATGGGACATTCACGGAATCATTTCCTTCCACTGTTTCTGATAAATAACATTGTCAGCAAAGATTTGTCAGATGTGCCATTGTCAGAGGCAGTGGACAACAGATTGCTGTGGACACCGCCCTTCCCATTTGCATGTATTCCCCTTCCTTTCCATACAAAGTGCCCCTCAGTATCTGAGGGGGTCCAGCACCAAGCTGGCATGTACCAGCACCCTCGGAGGCTTGAAGTCCCTTATTCGAATGGTGTAGTGTTTGCATATAACCTTTGCAAATTCTTGCGTATGCTTTAAGTCACTCTAGATTATCTATAATACCTAATACACTATAAATGTTACATAAAAGTCATTATGGTGTATTGTCTAGGGAATAATGACAAGAAAAACAAGAATCTGTGCATGTTCACTACAGATGCAAGCGACCGTGGAGACCTACCTAGGTGGTATTTTCCATCCCTGGCTGAATCCAAGGATGCAGAATCAATGGTTTCTACATCGATTTCATGATCTGTATTCCATGCAGACTCCCACAACTGGGCTGCCTGTGTTTCTCTCTCTATTCTTCTCCCCTCAGAGTCCCCCTGCTTCCTCTTGCAGACAGAAGATTCTGCCCCCAGGTCTCCTGTGTGGTAACAATGTGGTTTACTGGCCACTGCAAAGCATTTCATCAGTTTATTCACAATTGAATGGGGGAAATGAAGCATTTATTCTGCCTTTTCTATACAAACCATGCTTCAGGGTAACCAAACAGCCTTAAATGTGAAACAGCAAACTGACAAGTCTAGCAAGTGAAATGTTCTATGGTCGTTCCAACGACCCTATATTTCCATAGGTGGTATTAATACCTAAATGAGGAGAGGAGGTTAGACTACTGCAGATTAAAACAAATTTAGGGTCTCCCTGCTGGTGCAAGGGGTTAAGTCTCAGCACTATGAAGCTATAGGCAGCCACTGCAACATGAGTTTGATCCCCAGCCAGAGAGCTAACCACATGGTACCCCGGTTCTTGTATGCATAAATAAATAAATCTTTAAAAAATTAAATCTTTTGGGAATAGGGCAAATTCCGCTGTCACTCCAGGAGACATTCTTTTAGCAATGATCAACAACTAAGTTATCTATTTTTTTTTTAAAGATTGATTGATTGATTTATGCTTACAAGAGCTAGGGTACAGGCCAGAGATGCAGAGGGTGAGAGGATTCACCAAAGACAGAGTGGGGAACAGAACAGGCGGATCTACTGAAATACACTGCTGGGGGGAGCAGCGGGTAAGTCAGGAGAGGTCTGCTGCACCATGTGGGTATCTCCCTGGCCGGGGATCGAACTCCTGCTGCAGTGGTTGCAGATAGCTTCATAGGTTGTGTCTTAACCCCTTGCGCCACCAGGGAGGCCCATAAATAAATCAATCTTAAAAAAAAAAACAATAACAAACTTAAGACTTTTGTCTTGGCCACCAACATGCCATCCAGACTGAGGAAGACCTGGAAACTTTGGTGTCACATGAGCCATGACCACAGCAATATCAGCCAGCACCCAAGAGGCCATGGCAATTCTGGTGGTGCTGTCACCACAGGATCAACTTCGACAAATATCACCCAGGTTACTTTGGGAAAGTTGGTAGGAGTCGTTACCTAATAAAGAGGAAATGCAGCTTCTGACCAACTGTCAAACCCAGATAAATTTTGGCCCTTGGTGAGTGAGCAGACATGGGCAGATGCTGCCAAATACCAGGCTGGAGCTGTTTCTACCACTGACGGGTGAGATCAGGCTACTGCAGCGTTCTGAGGATGGGAGAGATCCCAAAACAGCCCTTGATCCTGAAGGCCTGATTCTTCAACAGAATTGCTGGGGGACGGTTAGGGGTCTAGGTGTGTGTGTGAGGGGGGTGGAGTTTCCTGATAGCTTGAAGCCCCCTGGAAGTTCATTAGACACAAGTGCTTTTCAAACCAAAACAAGACTTAAGAGACAATAAATTGCAATGTGTAAATTTTATTTGGATCCCGATTTGAACAAATCATCTATAAATTAGGCAGTTGAAACATTTGATATAATTTGAACATCAACTGGATGCTACATGACAACACCGCTATTGTTAGTATTTTGAGTGTACAACGGTTCATGGTTATAGGATAAAAAGTTCCACCTTAAGGAATGATATCACACTTAAGAATGTAGGGGTGAGGTCTGGGATTTACCTTAAAATACTCAGCCAAGGGAAAGGAATAGGAAAAAAGACCATGTCTTGCTAACTGTTGAGCCTGATTGTGGGTGCATGGGGTTGACATGGGCTCAGTAAGCTATTTTCTTTTGTGTTTCTGAAAATGTCTATAAATGAAAGCATTGAAGTATTACATTATTGGTCACACATTCTAGATAAAATATGACAAAATTATATCATGTCTTCACATACAATGGAATAATTCCGCTTCTTCCATTAGATAGGATAAATTATCCTAACATTTCTTAGAGAAGCAGGTAAAAGCAAAACACACCTCTAACTTCAAGCTTAGCAGTCTTACCCAGCAGCCTTTGACATTCTGACCATCTCACCTGGGCATTGTATTTTCCTTGAGATGGTAGAAAGTTCTCTTCCTCTTCCCAGGCTGCCCAGAATCTTTTCACAAGCACCTGCCTTAGAATGAAGATACTATTTCCTCACGTAATTTGCCACAGTGTTTATTTCTCTGCCAGGCTGGCCTGGGAGAGGTTTCCCATATGCATTTTATAAACCTGTCCCTGTCTCATAGAGAATAGCATCCACTCCATCTTAAAATATAAAACAGAGCATGTCTTAAAATATCTTTTGGCCTTCCCTTCCTATTCATTACATCTATAAAGATGAATCTGTTTTTCTGTGATAAGAAAGAATGGCAAAGGGAAAGGATTTGCTGAAGTCAGATTTTCATGGTTAACAGACACACATTTCCTCCTGCAAACTCATTCATCCAGTTCTCAGGTGTATAAGAAAACAGACAGAACAAGGTGAAATGACAAAACCAGAGACTACAAATGTTCATTCTCCTTCATTAAAAACATTAATTCATAAACATTGTGATTCATAAATAATCAAGGTTGGTGGTGCACCTACAGCCGTACCCTAAAACCAAATATTCTGCCCTTCTGGAACATTCACTAAACCTCTTCAAAGCCAGTATGTGACTCCAAAGAGGAAGTTCAGTCTTCCCCAATTCCCTGAGTTCACATTTATTCAATTCTACAGGCCCACCCAACCTGCCCAAGAAATGGACCTATTGTTCCTGGGAGGGCAGAAAGGATGAGGGGGAGGACCCAGAGCTGTGGAAGGGCAGTGCCCCCAGGCCTGGGCAGCACATCCTGTGTGCAAGTACCAGCTTTATCGTCCTATTTGTTATAACGGAGTGATTTCCCTGTCAAAAGACTTGAGTCGAAAGGAAGGCAGACTTTCTCCAGCAGCCCCTCCTCAGACCCAACGTGGGTCTATCCCTGTGGCAGGTGTCCAGCTGCTCAGAGCGTCCCATATACGCTGACTTTGGCCAGGGAGATGCTCTCCCAGTAGCGGTTCCGGCCTTTCTCATACAGGATGAAGAGCTGGGTGGGCTGGTGCACCCCGCGCACACTGCCTTCCAGGGTTGCCAGTGATGAGTAGCCACTGGGCCCTGGCCACACCTGGACATTCTCCTTCCGCCATGAGGTGCCATTGCTGAAGCTCCAGCGCAGGGTCAGGTTCACGCCTGTGGAGAGCAGCAGAGTCAGGGGAGGGTGTCTCTCCATCACCTAGGCTCCCTGTGTCACCCAACCCTGCAGACACTCACGGGACTCTCTATGGGCTGGGTTGGAGAAGAAGACAATGCCGGAGTTGGTGGCTACAGCTCCTGCGGCAACCACGGGGTCTATGAGCTCAGTGTCGAAGGTCACGTCCTGCAGCTTCAGCGTGTCACAGGCATCGTAGCTGTGGAGGATGATGCGGCAGCGGCAGTGGTAGTTGTTCTGGTTCCGGGCGTTGATGACAACTGAGCCATCCGGGAGCTCATAGGGCTGAGGAGAGAGAACAGGGGTTCAGAAGTTTCAGGGATCGGGCAGAGTAAGGTCCAGAGGGAGCAAGGCTGGGAGGCAGGGAGTGGAGCAGCCAGAACCAGGGTCTGTGAATGCAATGAGGCTCTGGAGGATCAAGATGGCTGAGTGGGGAGCCATTGGTGGTTCCTGACCTGACACTCATCAGGGTTGAAATCGTTGTTGAGCTTGGGCTGGCCGAAAGGGATGCCGGTGATCCCACCGCCATAGCGCCAGGAGGCACCGTGGTCATCGCTGATGAGGCAGAAGACCCCATCCCGCTCCAGGGTCCCGTGGCCACATACAATGAGCCGGCCCTTCTTCGGCTCCCACTGTTTCTGTGGGAAAGGAAGCTGGGTGTTACAGAGGGAGATACTGAGGGACTCAGAAGTAGGGAGGCAAGCTCAATAAATATCTCCCCAAGTGTGAGGACATTGTCTGGTCCCCTTCAGTGCTGTCCTTGCTCTCCGAGAAATCTGGAAGGATACCACAAACACCCACTGCCTGATTTAAGCAGCTCTTCTGCAGAAGATGAAGGTCATGCATGGGAGAAGGGAATGCATAGGAGCTCAAACCCCACATGTGCTCACTTACCAACCTGTGCACCATGACACAGACCTGTCTGCTCAGAAGAAGGGGTGCCTTGTTCTAATTTGCACAGGATTCTAAATTGTACATGGGCAGCCCTGCTGACAATCCTCACATGGGATGCAGTGGCAAAGTCCCATCTTCCCTCTGGAGGGTGTTCTTCCCAGGATGTCCTTTTCTTCCAAAGAGTCCCATCTAATAGGAAATCTGACCTCACAGGACCTTCTCTTTGTGGAGAACTTTGAGGGCATCTTCCACAAGAGAGCCCCCACTACCCATCTCAGGACAGACCTGAATGCCAGAGCCAGGGCCAGGGGCAAACATCTCAGTGCCGATATCCACAGAGAGGTTTCGGGGAGGGCTCCAGGAAACACCATCATCCTTGCTCCATATCAACATGGTGGAGGACACTTTGCAGCCAGCCTTGTGAGCACAGAGCGAGTAGAAAAGGAATACCGTTCCTGTCTTACTATCGCTCACGACTGCACCCAGGTTCAGGCCATCGGGGGCATCCCCATCATTTACAATGAAGGCCGTAGGAGACCATGTGCTGCCTGAAGGAAACATGGAAGAAACCCGTGGTGAGTACTCTGGAGAGGCCCTTTCACCACTCCCTGTTAAATTCCACCCTCTGCTAGGGACCCAAGGACTTACAATGTCCCCAGGGTGCCACCAGACCTGCCCCTTCTTACTTCTCTGTTCATATCTACTCTACCCTTGCTCACTCCACCCTGCCACACATGTTTCTCCTTAGTTCTCAGTAACTTCTCTTCTGGGGGGGTCTTTGCATGGGCTGGTTACATCTGCTGGTGCATTCTTCTTGCAGCCTTATTCTTTTACATCCTTTGAGTTTTTGCTCAAATATCACTGATTTAAAATTGCAATTAAAGGCCTCCCTGGTGGCTCTAGGGGTTAAGATGCACCACCCTATGAAGCCATTTGCAGCCACTGCAGCATGAGTTCAATCCCCAGCCAGGGAGCTACCCAAATGGCGCAGCAGACCTCTCTTGACTTGCCTGCTGCTCCCCTCAGCAGTGTATTTAAGTCAATCTGCCTGTTCTGCTCCCCACTCTGTCTCCGGTGAATCCTCTCACCCCTCACACCTCTGGCCTGTACCCCAGATCTTGTATGCATAAATAAATAAATCTCTAAAAAAAAATTGCAATCAAATGCTGACATGCCTCACACCTCTTGCCCAGGTTTATTTTTCTTCATTGCATTTCTCACCTTCCAACACATAAAATAAATTTACTTACTTAGGCCCCAGTAGAATATAAATCCCAACAGCAAGAGGATTTTTGCCCCGTTTTGTTCATAACTATTCACAGAATCTAAAACAGTGCCTGGTGTATAGTAGGTGCTCAATAAAAAATTGAATGATTGCAATTTCCAGATCACTGCCTGGGACAGCTTCCTTCATTAAGTTCTCTCTAACTGTCAAGGACCCAGGCTTCCAACTCTCCATGTTCCACTATCCTCTGGACACTAGGGCAGGTCAGGCTCTCCCAGCTTAGTATTAACTCTTGCCACCCAGGCATCTTTATACCCTGGTCCGTGGACCTCCGCAGAGCGATGAACTTGGCCCCCTTGTCTAAATCAGACAATTTTCTGGCCTCAGCAAAGGCAAGGAGATTGCCACGAGGAGTGACTGTGATGAGAGGGATGCGGAATGTGTCCACAGATCCAATCAGCTTCCCGCTCACCCAGAGCAGCTGCTCCATAGTGACGAGTGGGTTCACCTGAGACAAAAGGAGGACAGGTCAATAGGGACAAACTTGGTTTGGGGTTTCAGAACAGATGGATGGAGGCTGAAACTCAAGGTCCCCTGGGAGAGGCAGGCTGATGGGATCAGGAGCGAGTGTAGAAGCTGCAGAACAAGGGGAATCCAGAGAAAGACTGGAGCAAAACTGGGGGCTCGGAGGGGAGAGGGGTTATAACGGGAAAGGAAGCCCTCATGGAAGGGAAGGGAAGGGACTTCAAATAGGGAAGAAACTCGAACGAGGAGACTCTGAGGGAGAAGTGTATGGGCCGGGAGTGGAAAAGGGAATGGGAGTGGTGGAACGAACGGGATCTGAGACAGGCGGAGGAAAGCAGGCTCCGCAGCCCTTGTCCTGAGGGGCCCAGGGCACAGCCCGCAGCCTCCAGGGTCGGGAACTGGGCTGTGCGACTCACCAAATTGAAGTCGTTCTTTGCAGTAGCACCGACCTCTGCCAGAGACAGCAGCAGCGAGAAGATCGCGACAAATACCTGCACGCTACATCCTCCAAAAGTCTCTACCCTCCGCTGTGCCCCGCGTCTGCTCGGGGGCACTGCGCCGGCTCTCTCCTCGGTCATCTCTCCCCTGCAGCGACCCCGACCAGACCCCCTGGACTGGACCTCTGGAGTCGGTCAGCTGACTCTGGCCCTTTAAACATTCAGGTGTCATCCGCTCCCTCCCGGCCAGCCGGGAGCTCTAGGCCCGGCCCCACTTCCGCAACTCTAATTGGCTCTCACACTTTCTGACTTTCACGTCACCCGCGGGTGCCGGGGTTTGTCTTTCCAATTGGCCCTCTTCTAAGGTCCGGAGCGCGTGACCCCGGCGAGTCGTGCTGCCGCCGGAGTAAGGGGGCGGGCATTACTCCCCAGGAACCCTGTGATTGGCGCCGGCGCCTGGGCTCGTCATAGGGGCGCGGCCTGTTTTAAAGATGCAGGCGCGGGGGAAAGAGGCAGCGTATTGTCTCGGATAGAATAAAGGTCCCAGACTTTTTTTGGGGGGCCTCCCTGGTGATGCATGGGGTTAAGAACCGCACTATGAAGCTAGCCACAGCCTCTGCAGCACGAGTTCGATTTCCGGCCGGTCAGGGAGCTACCCACATGACGAGGCAGACCTCTCCTGCCTCGCCCTCTGCTCCCCTCAGCAGTGTACTTCGGTCCTTCTGCCTGTTCTGTTCCCTGCTCTGTCTCTGGTGAATCCTCCCACACACACACCCCTGCATCTCTGGCCTGTACCCCAGCTCTTGTACGCCTTAATAATTTTTAATAGTTGGTTTTTTTTTTTTTAAGATTTATTTATTTATTTATACAAGCACTGGGTACAGTCAGAAGCGCGGGAGGGCGAGAGAATTCACCAGAGCCAGAGCGGGGAGCAGAGCAGGCAGAAGGACCCAAGTACACTGCTGAGGGGAGCAGCGGGTGGCAGGAGAGGTCTGCGCGCCATGCGGGACCCTCCTCCGGTGCCCGGGGAGCAGCCGGGGATCGAACCGGCGCCGCAGAGGCCGCGGGCAGCTTCGCAACCCAGCGCTCAACCGCTGCGCCACCGGGGAGGCGCAATAATTTTTTTTTTTTTTTTTTAATAAAAGGTCCCAGACTTTTTGAGAAAACAAAATATCATTCTTTAATAAAATCATTTTACTACAAAATGGAGATCTGGAAGGCTGTGGCGTGAAGCTGGGAGGCGGAAACAGCCCCGGGTCAGGGTGATGCCTCTCACTTCTTCCTCTTATTCCCAGAGTCTTTCTTCTTGTCCCCAGAGTTCTCCTGATTCTTCTTGCCCAGAATCTTCAGAAGGTTCTTGGACATGTAGTAGGGTCGCTCCTGGGAGCCGTCGTTCCGCTCCAGGTCTTCCACTGAGCCAACACAGACCAGTTAGAAAGGACCCTCGGGGATCACCCCTACTCTCCTGGGAAAATCTGGGGCTTGGGGACTCAAATGCCTGGTTTCTATTCAGACTCCACCATCATCAGCAGTTTATGTATGGGTCAGGTTTTGTAACTTACTGAGCAAGTTATGTAATCTCAGTTTCCTTATCTGTAAGGTGGGTAGGTGGGGACGGAGTGGGGGTAGGGGAGGAAATGCGGGTCAGTTTAGCACAGAGCCTGTTACAAACCAAACCCTGAATGAATAGATGCAGTAGGGTAAGAAAGTCCTTTCTCACTACAGCCACCTGCTGGGAAGTCTATTGTTGCTAACTTCTACTCTAGATTTTCTGGAAGATACCAGAGACCTCTCCCCTGGAATACTTTCTTGGGAGAGCCTGCCTGCCCCAGAGCTTACTTCCTCCTTTCTTCCCCAACCTCCATATCTGAGGATGACAGAAGAGGCTCCCTCAAGCTCCTTTAACTCATAAAGTCATTATTTCTAGAATCACCTTGATGTTGGGGGGAGGTGATTAAGGGTGTCACTCACAGAAACAGAGGAAGAGTGTGTCCACACACATGCCGAAAACATTGAAGAAGCCACTGGCGATGACATAGGCTCCCAGGATACAGGTCTGGAAGACATGAGGGCTGTTAGGATTCCTTTGAGGGAGCTGGGAGGGTGAGGCAGAGATGGGAGACACTCACTATGATGGGCAGCCAGTAGTAGTTGAGTTTGGGGTTCTCAAAGTCTTTGCCCAATCCCGGGATGCGACCGGAGAAAAAAAAGAAGGACAGGACCCCTGCAGGAGAGGTCTGGAGGTCAGTGTTGCTGCTGATGTGACCTTTTTAACTGTCCAGCACCCCTGTCCTATCCCCGGAACTCCCAGCCCTGGTCCTTACCGACACCTCCAACCACCAGTAGCTTCCCGAAGAACAGCAGCAGGTCTGTGACTTTATCCAGCACGGCCACCCTATATAGGGAGTTAGGGTGGGTTGGGAGTGAGAGGCCAGGCAAGGCTGGAGACTGAATTGGCTATGTAATTTGCCCTGACAAAGTGCAAAATAAACTTTGTTCACATTTCAGCAGAGCAATAAATCAAGCTTGAGGCTCTTCTGAGCATAGCGTGGCCACAAAACCGGCCTCAGGTATGAGATCTGTGGTGGGGACCCCACAGTGTGGGGAACAGCCTGACCTGAGAATGTTCCTCATGAGCAGCTTGAAGGCGTCTTTGGCTGAGACACAGAAATTCTTCCCATAGATGGCGATCTGGGTGAGGTAGAAAGTTCAGAGTTACCTGTATGAGCTGCCCAGGACCGGGTCAAGGGGCCCAGAGCAAGTGATTATACATGGGGCTCACCATGATGTATGCATTGCGGTTCAGGAACTTGACAAACTTTTCCAGACACCAGAGGCAGCACTTGAAGCAGCACATAATGCATCGGGCTAGAGCATTCTGGGTTCCTGGGGATCAGGGGGTCACATTTGGTCTCTGGTCCCCGACAATCCCTCAAGGATACAGCTGTTCAGCCTGGTCTTTTCCAACCCTGGACCTTGACTCACTTTTTAATCTGTGGTCAATGTACTCCAAGATGACCCGGACTATCTGCACAAGGCTCAGGATGAGGGATCCGAAGGCCAGCGAGCCAGTGTGGTAACTGAAGTTGTTAGGTGGTCAGATGCAGCCTCAGGACCTCTGTGACTCCCACGCTTACCCAGGCTCACAATTCCCAGCATCCCCCCTGCTTACCGAAGTGTGCGAATGAAGGCAGAGCACAGGGGGAAGGTGGGGATGTCCTTGGGTTTGTGCAAGGCCCAGTAGAAGGAGGCAAAGGCCCCTGCCAGGACACACTGACCCAGGGCCAGCACCCAGTTCACGGTCCAAAATAGCCCCAGGACCCCGTAGATTTGCAAGTTGAAGAGAGTACGTTGTACCAGGCCTGTGGATGTGTAGCTCTGGAAGACGCAAATCACTCCTGGGCAGGAATTATTAATTGGGACCTGGAGGGTTTTGAAAGAGTAGACTCATTCCCAACCAGCTCTTCTCTCCCAGAGAAGAGGGGGGGAAGTGGCAGCCTCCCCTCTCAGGAGTTGCCTCTCTAGTGTCACTGGTTCAGCTTGCCTATGGTGTCAGTGTGACTAGCTTCTATCAGCCACCTGATGTGCAGAACTCCCCAAGCCTCAGTGGTGCAAGGGCCAGAGTGCCCAAGGCCTAGCTCTCCCTTGTACTCAAGCAGCAATTCCTTCCCAGTGCAGCCTCTGCGACTTCAACCAAAACAGTCTCTAGCAAAATCAAAGAAACTAATTTTTTTAAAAAGATTTATGTATTTATACAAGAACTGGGGTACAGGCCAGATGCACAGGAGGGTGAGAGGATTCACCAGAGACAGAGTGGGGAACAGAGCAGGCAGATTGACTGAAATACACTGCTGAGGGGAGCAGCGGGTGAGACAGGAGAGGTCTACTGTGCCATGTGGGTCCCTCGCCAGCTGGCTGGGATGGAACCGGTTCTACAGAGGCTGCAGACAGCCTCATAGCTCAACCACCTGTGCCACCAGGGGAGGCCCAAAGACACTAATTGTAAGATAACAAAGAATTACTGTTGATTTTATTGGGTGTGCTAATGGGGTAGTGATTGTGCTTTTTAAAAATCCTTAAGTATTGAGATTCAATCCTGTTGTATTGCAGGTGAAGAGACACAATGACAATGTCCAGAATTTGCCTTCAAAAACTCCAGAGAGGGGGCCTCCCTGGTGGCTCAAGGAGTTAAGCACCGCACTATGAAGCAATCCGCAGCCTCTGCAGCACCAGTTCGATTCCCGGCTGGCCAGGGAGCAACCCACATGGCATAGCAGACCTCTCCTGTCTAGCTCGCTGCTCCCCTCAGCAGTATATTTCAGTCAGTCTGCCTGTTCTGTTCCCCACTCTGTCCCTGGTGAATCCTCTCACCCCTCCCCAACCCTCGCATCTCTGGCCTGTACCCCAGCTCTTGTATGCATAAATAAATCAATCTTAAAAAAACAAAACTCCAGAGAGGAAAAAAAATTTCCAGTGAGGTGGAGAGGGTAGATGAAGCCAGCTTCGTGCAAAGTTGTAGGTTGTGGAAGGAACAGCAATTCTCTTTTGTGAGTGTTTGAAATTTTTCAAAATAAAAACTTTCCAGCAAATGTGACAAAAACCTTGATAATTGCTGAAACCGAGTATATTTGAAATTTAATGTTCAGAAAACATACTGTACTTTGTAATTGTGGCTTTGTGTCTTCTCTACTCCTGGGAAGGGTTGAAAGCAAGAACTGAGGTACTTAGGACTTTTGATACAGGTACCTGGCACATAGTGGGTCCCCCAGACTTTTAAGGGAGCCTCTTTCCCCTACCAGAGGGGGGGCACAGACCACTGCCCCAGCTCAGAGGAGCGACAACTTTGAAGACAGTCAATTTTTAGCAATCCAGTGTCAATGGGGAGAGTTTGGGGAAGCAGCTTCTCTCCCAGGCCCCCAGGAAGTCCCACCTGCCTAGAGCCTAGCACTGTGTTCCTAAAGAGGGAAACACAACAACATAACAAGTGCCCCCAAAACAGGTTCAACAAAACCGGTCTACAGTTATCAGCTCTTATCAGATGCCAGGCATTGTATGAAGCACTTTATGTGCCCCTGTCCTGTCATCGCAGACACCCTGAGGGGCAGGTATTATGATTAGCCCCATTTTACAGATCAGTGGACTGCAGAGGAATGTCGGGGGCGGGGGGGGGGTGGGGGGGGAGTTCTGCTGTCCACCTCCCTGCACAGGGCCCTCCCCCACACCCCCCACCAGTATGCCTCCTTCCAGCCTCCCTTCCTTCCCTACAGTGGGTGACTCAGTAGCAGAACTAGACCTGGAGCCTCGGAATGACTCCCTCCTTTGCTG